TACACAGACCCTGCGCTGCTGGACATCTGAAGAGTTGCTACAGTACCTCTTGCTGTGCACAAACTAGAGACGTGAGCCGGGTGGTGCTCGCACTACTACAACACCGGGGGTTGTGCTCGAGAGCTGTAGATGGGACGCCTAGTTGAGGTGCGGCTGAAGTGGCAAGCTGCTGGCTGCAGACGGTTGCTGGCTGCCATTGGTGGCGGCCTACTGCACAAGCTGCTACTGCGCCCACGCACAACCTGCGGTTGCTGGGTACTGTCTGCAGCAGCGCACTGCGATGGCATGGCATAACGGGCTGCCGCAGTGACATGACTTCTGTATCTGTGCGCGGCCCATTGCGGGAGGCTGGGCATGGACTGTGTTGTTGCKGTGTTCGGTAGCCGGACGGGGACARCGCTTGCTACTGTTCTCTCCCTTGATTGTGCACAACGTCCATTTYGGGTCATTGCTGTATGCTACAGTTGATGACTGTCGCTGYTGCTAAGGAGGACCTACTGCGGCGTGCTAGGCGCTGTTGATTGCTATGTGATACCGTGGCGCTCAAGGGCTTCGTGCGGACTGTGGCCCCAGATGTGCTGCTGTTGTGGGTCACTACCGGTAACTGCARCYGCGGCRGGGGATTACTGCAGTTACTAAGGGYTGCTGTTAAGACCTSCTGCACACTGCTGCRCGCCGCGGCRTGTTGTTATACACCACTGCGAGCKACTACTGCGTCGTYGACCGTTGCATCMTGCTAGGAACTGTTGGTGGGGGCTGCTATTGCAGCTGGCCGCAGGTGAGCACTACTGCAGCTGCGSATTGGGAAACTSGTACAGGGTGTTGGGCGGCTGCAGTTGGACTTAGAAGGGTAGTTRGCMTTARTGAAGGGGGCTTGGCRTCGCGAGGTGATGGCTCATCAGGTGGGGTGTTTCGGCTGYGTGAGTTCGCTGATCAAGCTGTCAGTTGGCCGCCATTGCGGGRCCCTCARRCGAACCAAGATAACAAGGCTCCCTCACGCGAGTYTGAGTGCACCCCTCTAAGAGACTCTAAACTTTCTCTATCTGCCTCTCTTAGTCCTAGTCTAGTCTATTGGTTACGAGGGGAAGGCGRCARGCGGGATTGCAACCCGTAGGACCGCATCAAGGCTCTGTGGGGAGTCCTCSCACCGATTGCRGGAGCTCTGCCGGAACCTAGGCGAGGTTCTGGAGGYAGGGAACTACCAGGTAATCCCTTTCTATCTGTATRACCCACTACACCCATACTTGCATATCCCCTTATGGTTTGATTGATGTATGCATGCATGRYCCTATGGKTTCTGTTYTCTATTCAAGACATAACCWRACCAAGTAAGAGAATGCATGTATAAAGCCAAGTTYCAACTTCTTTGATTGATTGAAAGCAGATTGTGGGATTGCATCTGGSGGAAGGGTGGGAGAGAGACAGTATTGCATGAAGTTTGACTGGGTCAACCAAAGGCTGGGCCAGTTCCATAAGTTTGGGAAGGCCCAGTGATGTGTTTTATTTTGTATTGCCTGGAGAACCAGACAAATCCATAAGTTTAGGTGGTCTGGTTGCTCTAACTTGTGAGGGTTGAATGTGATTGCTTCTTCAGGCACCAGTCAAATCCATAAGTTTGGGAGGTCTGACGACCTTGTTTATTGGGGGTTTTTGACAGTTTCTTTGGTTTCTGAACGAGGAGGGGAGCATGTCCCATAAGTTTGGGTGACTCTACCTCTTCCTGCTTTGGTCTAGAGAAATAAACCAGGCTGAGGACCAAGACATGTTCCATAAGTTTGGGTGGTCTTGGTCCAACGCCTCGCACATGCTAGAACCGGAAGGCTATAACTTTGMTATACTTTAYTATTATGCTATCTATGAACAGGCTAGTCAGACAGGGTTCCATAAGTTTGGGTGGCCTGACTATAGCTTATCACCAACTGAAGAGAGTACTTAACTAAGAATAAACCTGTGGTACGAAGAGGCAGGCTGAGTCTTGAGCTGAAGATGATCGGCTCAGCGATATGCTACCTCAAAAGACTAAGTACAAGCAATTATATAAACCTTGGATACTTAAACAGTTCAGGGCGGCTAGGGTGGCCTAGTCATATGCCCAAAGAAGAGAAAAGTTGTTGTGCCCTGTGTTTGTGTATACATCTTGGCTGGGCTAGACATGTTCCATAAGTTTGAGTGGTCAAGCCTTATGCAACTATGTAAGCTGGGTATAAGAGACAGATCATTGAGGGACTACGAACTATTGTTTGCTAAAGTAACTTGGGGATGGTGAGAGAGTGCATGTTATGTGGTCTGGCCTGCATGTGACTGAGTGATGTCACTTCTTAGTCTGAGTTTGGATTTGATAGGTAGTTGCTGTAGTTGCTCGCCACGTGCTAGAGCCATAGGAGTTAGAGTCAATTCTTGCAATTTTTTGGGCTCGCTTTTGTTTACTTAGCTCAGTTTCTGCATTATCTGGGATCTTCTTGAGTCAGACTTGGTCTTGTATAAATCTTGGTAAGCCACTTTCTCTACGGGAAGCGYTGCCGAAATTTCTACAAAATCAAGGTGTTAGTCAAAATTRGGCCSTGAAGGATCAAAGTCATTTYCAKATTYCAAACCTAGCTTTGTATAAATCTTGGATTGACACTTTCTCTAYGGGAAGCGCTGYCGAAATTTCTACAAATCTAAGGGGTTGGTTAAGAGTTTGTCTTGACAGAACTTAGACTTTATGTCTAAGTTCAATTCTGACTTGGTATAAATCTGGGAAGCCTTCCTCCCTGAGGGGGTCCCTGAGGGGAGTGCTGCCCAAATTTTTGCTAAGCCAGGGAGTTAGACAAATCTTGGCTTCTGGAATCCACAAGTTTGACTTTTAGGCTAGTATATTTCTTGCGATGTCACTTCTCCTACGGWAAGCGCTGCCGAAATTTTCCTAAGTTAGAGGAGTTAGCCTATATTTAGACAGGTGGCRACATATGTAGGGGAGRCTATGGCGAAATCCACCTTACGCTGAGTRCTAGCTAGRGGTAGATTTAGGCTTAGTCAGATATGATGACTAAGTAATATCAGGATATGAAAATTACTCCCCCGGGACGTATAGACTTAGTTTGAGGTTGGYYTGTCTTGTGTTAMAKGTCGYTTTGATCGRTCGCRTCARAACGTGGACTAGACTCAGTTGATCCTACAAGGATCACTTGCTGTTATCACAGATAACATRTCGGTTGCCGACTCGTAGGTTTACGACTCAACCTCARCCCACTCTCCTTACTCAACCTAAAGAGGCTTCAGCCCTGGTGATCTTCTCTGTTTTGTTAYGGTTTCACCCGGACTTTTAYTGAATGGYYATTTAACAAAGGTRCTGAGTATTTACTTAAGGTTGGTTGGSWGGAGGTTGGGKCTTRCATGGYTGAGGCAAAGGGTATGAGCATARAGATTGGTTRGAGTTGACTCCGTGTAGCGTATGGASTTGTGCTTGACTCTTTGATGTGATTGCAGGTATGTTCTAGGGCTTGGATTATTGGATTGGACTGCCYTGCRATGTWATATATGTGTATGGCTATGAGGAGRCCCACTATGATTGTGAGATGTGATCGTCACACGTTCATTCCCATATGTGTGCATATGTGTGTATATGTGTATGTATGCATACCTATGTAGGGTACTTGTRTGGCCTRAAAGGGRCCGCGTGCTAAGGAGTTAATCAGGGGTTGGGCTAGTAGAGARAGGATGACYCCATTACTTATATAAGTGCTTCTTGGAGATTGCTMGTCGGACGTTGGTCCTGGGCCGGGATTCAAGGTCCTTGTCCAGGACATCCCAAGCCCTAGGCCCTGCACTGAAGGGGACCCCCCTCGRGYAGAGCCTATTTRCCYTKACCGCCAGGGCACTCGGGCCGAAAGCCGGACGTGCCGCGGCGGCCGCACGRCTARTCCTTCAGCCRTGCAATATCGTGAAGGGCGGAACCTTCACGATACTTCGAGTCTGACACGTGAGTGTCATAAGCGGTACTCGGATCCACGAGGGACCGCTCGATTATGGGCACTGCATAGTACGCCATCTTCGCGACTGCTTGTGTGCGTCGGCATTGCTAGCCGATATGAGAAAGGCGTACGCCCGCGCGGCTTTATATTAAGTCTCGCGCACGACGCTCAGCCGGTTCCCGCACTAGGAAGTTATGGGATGGACACTAAGGGACTAGGAGGGTGTCGCGTTGTACGTCCTTTGCGTCGTTCAATACTCGTGTGCGTGTGTGCGTGTGCTTTACCTTTATGTACGTTATAGTGGTGTGCGCGTGGCGTGTGGAATACGTCCTAGTCGACTGGCGACGAGCCGCGCTTGGGACCTCAGCCCCCCAAGATGTCGCTTCGCGTGCGGGTCCGATAGAGGCGTAGTACCACGCGTACCCCTTATGCTACAGCGAACGAGAAACGCCCTCGGCTGGTCCACCTCTGCGATTGCAGCTGATCAACTTTCGTACTGTGGACTGGTAGCTCGGCGGGGATTCGCCCACCGAAGGGAGGTGACAGCTCCCGTAAGGTGGAGGTAATCGTGCCTCGCGTAGGCCCTGTCCTGTCGTAGAGGCTCGTGAGAGGTATGGCTGGCGCACCCGACCGGAGCGGCTTGTGGAAGCTTCGTGTGTGTACCACAACGGGATGTGTACTCTGACTCCTGCGTGACGCGGCCGGGAGGGTCCCGCGCTACCTCTGAGTGGTGCCGGACCGATGCGGTCGACAGGTGGCGCCGTTGCCGGGGATGACGGTTGCCTGCCGTTGTCCCTGGTGGAACAACATCCGGGCATTAGGATAAGGAAGAAATCAGGCATGAGTGGGGGATTCGAAGTGAGTCTATAAGTAGGGCTATAGGAGAGATTGCATGACTATAGTAACTATGAGGAGAAACTCACAGCTTAGGTAGACCTTGTGAATGTAGGTCTGGGAGCGAAAGGGGCGTGGGTGTCAGTTAAAGTCTGAAACGCCCAAGAGCTAAGTGGTTAGCTCGATAGGCTTATGCTGGAGTAAGAGTGCTGAGTAAAGTTGCCTTTGTACCTCATCTTACTACAGGGAAGTTAAAGTGAAGGACAAGCTGCTAAAATGACAAGCAACATAGGCGACAGTTCTGGCAAGGTCCTGACCCTCGATGATCTCATCGAGGCGATGGACAAGCGGGAAAGAACGCCGAGAAGTGTCCCCAAAGTCGACACCTTCCACTTCAATGGGGAACGAGTCTCTGAGTGGCTGGACCTAGTGGAGCAAGCCTTGGTGGGAGTACCAGACGAGACGAAATTCAAACGCATCCTGCAGTATGTGCTCCATAAGCACCATCCGGAAGTACAGAAGGTGGTCGACGACGCTAACGGCGACTGGGCTAAATTTAGGGAAGGGATGCAACGGAAGTACAGGCTGGGAGACGGCCTGCTGACTATGGCGGACCTAGAGTCAATGAATAGGGACGACTTCACCACCATTGGGCCGTTCCTGCAAGAATTCAAAAAGAAGGCGAGAAAGGTACATGGGATATCAGAGGAGGCGCAGTGCGCCGTCTTCCTGGGGCTGCTCACCGCATCTGAGACAGTTGAGCTAACAAGCCATGGGGGAGGAAATGCCAAACTTACCTAGGCCACCATTGACAGAGGAGTGGAGGTCGGGAGCCTCGACCAGGTTGAGCAGCACCAGGTAAGACTACAGAGGCAGAAAAGGAAGGAAAGGGATGCGGCTGGGACGCCAGGAGTAAAGAAGATCATAACCGACGTGCTAGCAGGGCTAGACCCGGTGATACAGCGGAAGGTGATGGCGGCGGTCCAGGAAAAAGGCAAAGGGGCCGCGGTGGAGGAGGCTACCCAGGAAGGATGGGAAGAGGAGGGGCCGGTACCTCCACACCTTACGAAGGCGCAACGTAAGCAGCGCAATCTAGCACAAGGCGGACAAGGGTCAAGAAAGGGCCAGGCGCCTCAAGTAGTGGTAGCAGCATCTCCGAGTTCGTCCGGGCCATCAAGTAGTGCGGGCCCGTCGCAAGCACCAGTGCCACCAATTGGGCACTGGCCGTGACCCCTGATTAATACCTATGTACCCTGGGGTGGCCCAGCCCCGTCTGGACAGGTAATATCCTACGCTGGGCCCCAAACAAGTATGCCACCTCCGAGCTACCCCGCCGCCCAGACTCAGCCAACGGTACCACATGCGCCGACGCCCACACAAAGTTCACAAGGCAGTGTGACGGGTGGTGGTAACCAAGGCCAAGGAAACCAAGGGAATGGAGGAAGGGGCGGTGGGCGAGGACGTGCCAGGAATGGCGGTGACCGAGGAGGCCAATGGGGCAACCAAGGTGGCCAAGGCAATCAAGGCGGCCAAGGCAACCAAGGGGGCCAAGGTGGTGGAAGGGCCCGATTTGATTGGACGACTGCCATATGTCAGCACTGTGACCAGCAAGGTCACACTATTAGGTTTTGCAACATACGGAGAGAGGACGATAAAAATGGACTGATTTATTCTAATATGGATGGGGACATTTACGACCAATTCGGAGATTTTATTGATAGGAAGGCTGGTGGAGTTAGGGCGGAGGCCCAACGAAGGTTGGCAGCACGACAGCCACCCCCTGCCACGTTCAGGCTATGGCAGGAGAAGGAAGAGCTGCCAATTGGAGTTGAGGAAGTACGAAGCGACGAGGAAGTAACCCAAAGGCTACAGGCCGGGGATGTAAGAGAGACACCCATAATCATCGAGTCGGACGATGAGGGTGACGATGAAAAGGTAGAGCCGGCGGTAGTCCTGCTGAATAAGATGGAGGACTTATTGGACAAGGTAGGGAGATACCAACGGAAGTTGGTAGACCTCTGCGAGAGAGTGAAGGAATGGAGGGCTAACCTCCCCAAGGTCTTCCTTTATGACTCTGGTCCGGAATCCATGCCGGGGCGGCCCGGAGTGACCACTGTTGGGACGGGCCCGCGATCAGGGATGATGACTAGGCCCCCTACCCCACAAGCTAGGCTGGCTCAGGCAGCCCGCACTCGAAGCCAAGCCAAGGCAGATGCGAGTCAGGGATCCCTCGGAAGGAACCAGAACCAGAAAAGAGGAAGGAAACTGTAGAGGTAGAGGGTGATGATGATGATGAAGGGGAAGATGACCGGTTACGTCAGGAAGAAGATCAAAGGGCCGAACAGCGAGCCAAGAGAAGAGGAAGCCAGGAAGAAGTGGAACCCGTCATGCGGGACGTGCCACCAAAGAGAAAGAGGTATGCAGTCCGGCTAGAGGAGGGGTTTGATGTAGAGCGAGTGATTGACAGGCTGCTTGAGGGCCATAATGATTTAATGACCCTTAAGGAGATCCTGGCATCTGCGCCTAGACTCCGCAACGAGTTGAAGGGTAGGCTGTCAAGGCGACTGGTGCCGAACGTCCACCTCAGCGTGATCCTACCCAAGGAGATGGAGTGGGCGGAGCCAGGGACAAAAATGGATTGGAAGTGTGTAGCTTGTGGCGTAGTGGATCTAGCGGTAAAGGGCTCCAAGTGCACGACCATGATAGATACGGGTGCCGAAATGAACATTATCCGGGAGGCCGACGATGTCAGATTTGGACTGGAGATAGACGCTCGGACTGCGGTATCCTGCACGGGGCCAACAATAAGGCTGTGTTTTGTGGAACAACCTCGAATGTGCTACTGGAGATTGGCAGGGTGAAGGCGCGGGCCTGTTTCTTTGTGATGCCTGATGTGGACCACAGTATCCTCCTAGGGAGGTCCTTCCTATGCAGAACAGAGACCTTGATGTATAATAAGCATGATGGGTCATTGATCCTGATTTTATGTGATCCAGCATGCGGGAATTACGAAGTGGTTACCTGCCGGAACACTGGGCCAAGGAGTCTCAGGAACAGGCCCAACCCTGGCTCGTTCACGATTGAGGAGTCAGAAGACGCGCATCGGAGGCTTAGGGCAGAGCCCGAGGAGGAAGTAGAAGGTGAAGCCTTCTCGCTCAGCCTGTCAGATGTGGGAAAGGCCATGGATATAGTGGCCACGCACGAGACGGCCGATCCGGATGCCATTCAGGCGTTGAGGGAGCAGGTTCTGGAGTATCCTCAGGTAGGGGAAATAGAGCTGGTCTATCGGCTTCCTAAGGGGAGAATGGATCCGACGGTGGCACAGGCACAGGCTCGAACGACAAGTCAGCCTTTTTTAGGGGCCGGCTCAAGCAGGGTGTCCAAAGGCGGTACAAAACGATAGACAAAAAGTGTCGCCCAGTTCCTGTTCTGGTTACTGAGGACGAGGAGGTGTACTACGAATGGGAGCGAGCATTGATACGGCGGATGAGGAAAAAAGCGTCAGAAGGGCCATGCCGTATCAACGAGGAAAACGAAGGAAAGTTGATAGTGGGAGAACTGAATTTCCTATTACCGCGGGAAAGAGCCCTGATGGTGGAACTGATGAAGAAAAGACACCGCGCCTATGCTTTCAGTGACGAGGAGCGCGACAGGTTGGATGTGGACAAGATTCCAATGATTCGCATCCATACCGTGCCACACGAACCATGGAACCTAAGGGGGGCGCGATACCCAGACCCTGACGAAGAGAAGAAGGTAGTGGACTACCTCGATGGCAAAATACGTATGCACGTCGCCGACTACTCGAGCGGACCCTACGCATCCCCGTGGTTTTGTTTTATTAAGCCTAATGGGACGCTAAGGTGGGTACAGGACTTGCAGAGACTAAATGCGGTGACAGTGCGGGACGCAGGTGGGCTACCAAATGCTGATGCGCTGTCGGAATCGTGCGCTGGAGGGACGATAATTTCACTTATTGACCTCTATTCCGGATACGACCAATTTTCGGTTTACCCGCCGGACCGACCAGTGACGGTTATGCACACGCCTCGAGGGCTCATCCACATGAATGTGGCTCCACAAGGGTGGACGAATGCTGTGGCAATGACCCAGAGGAATATGATCCGGGTCATGCAGACGGTTAGTCCACACATCACGCAACCATACATCGATGACCTGGCAGTGAAAGGGCCGCGAAAAAGAGAAGACAATGAGGTCTTGCCTGGAGTAAGGCGGTTTGCCTGGAGGCATTTTCAGGACCTTGATAAAGTCTTGGGCTTGCTTGAGGAGCACAACCTTATGTCCAGTGGGCCTAAGTCTAAGCACTGTATGAGGGAAGCGACTATCTTGGGGTTCGTCTGTAATGAGAACGGTCGGCGGCCGGATGTTAAGAAGACGGATAAGATAGTTGAGTGACCAGTGCCATTCCGTTTCGTAACAGATGTAAGGAGCTTCCTAGGTACGTGTGGGTTTTGAAGGTCCTTCGTCAAGAACTTTGCGGCAAAGACAGAGCAATTAAGGAAGCTGGTCCGGCAGGATCAGGAGTGGACCTTGGGTGAGGATCAGGAAGAGGTTGTGGCCAACATGAAAGAGGAGTTCCGGGAAGGAGGATTGGTGCTGGGAGCGCCCGATTATGACGCTACGGAGACGAGACCATTCATTGTGGAAACCGATGCAGGACCGACAACCTTGGGTGGAGTTCTAATCCAAGCAGACATCACGGGGAAGGAGAGGCCGTTGCGCTTTGAGAGTCGCACGCTGTGTACGCCAGAAAGAAACTACTCTCAATTCAAGAGGGAGACCCTCGCCGTCCTTCATTGCCTGCGGATTTTTCGAAACTACATCTTCGGCAGGAGGTTCATCTTAAGGGTAGACCCAACGACTCTGGCTTTCTTTCTGAGGAATTATGTTCCGTCCGATCCAACAGTAGCCAGGTGGTTGACATACATCTGGATGTTCAACTTCGAGTTGGAACGGATCCCAGGGAACAAGAACAGGGCAGATGGGCTAAGTCGCATCAACTGGGATAGGCAGGACGGGGAAGCTGTAGAGGATACGCCCCCTGTTGATGGCTTTCTGGACCAGGACGAGGACATCCGCCTCCACATCAATAAGTGGTCCCCACGAGTCCCCAGCTGCGTTGGCCATCCTATCTGGCATGCGCCTAAGGGATATGAGCGGAAAGCTGAGTTAGTGTTCAAGCCTTTCGAAGAAGAGGATCCCTGGGGTGGTAGGGACGTCCAATGCATGACCAACATGGCACTCGCAGGTGACCATTGTATGGTGGATGAGGTACTGACGATAGAGGAGGGCCCGGATAAGGTAAAGTGTCACGAGGAATTAATAGGAGGGATGTACCTCCTCATCAATACGCTTCTGCAGGAGTCCCTTGATCTGGAGAGCTCACTGAATCCGGCCGAAGGAAGAGATACTGCGTTGGAGAGCCAGGATGACGAGTTCGAAGAGGGAGAGATCAAGGAGGCATTCCTCACAGAGGAGTATGATGGGATTTACCTAGAGCTGGGACTTCTCTTATCCTGCGAGATGCGTGATAGAGACGCAAGCCATAGGGCGCAGATGATGAGGGATCGCTACCTAGTAAGAGACGGTCATCTCTTCATAAGGAGGAAAGTAGGAAACCCCAGGCGGGTGGTGTGTGGTCGCAACTGTCAGATCGACATCATAGCAGCGCTTCACGATGTCATTGCGGGCGGACACCAGGGAGTTACTGCCACATATGCCAAAATAAGTGAGCTATACTATTGGGACGGGATGATGGAGATGGTTGGAAAATTCTACCAGTCCTGTGTGCCGTGCCAGGAGCAGTCTCGTCTAAGGCCAGGAGAGCCACTGCATCCAAGGCTGGAGAGAGAGGTCGGGGCCGTAGTCCACCTCGACTTATTGTTCATGCCCCTTGGAGACCATGGCTACAATTATATCTTCGATGCGCGCGACAACCTATCTGGCTTTGTAGATGGACGCGCGATCCGTACGAAGACTGGGCCAGTTTTAGTCAGCTGCATCGAGGAGTATTATCTGCGCTACCCGTTCGTTAGAGAATTCGTAATGGACAGGGGGTCAGAGTTCACATGTCAAGAGGTTCAAGACTTGCTATCACGATATGGCTTGGTAGCTAACTACACCACGGCCGCGCACCCTCAGGCGAATGCTCCAGTGGAAAGGGGCCATAGTACCATTACGGCGCTACTAGCAAAATGGACCGAAGGTAAGCCCAGCCAGTGGCCGAGGTATCTGAGGGCCGCCTTCTTCGTTGAGAACATCACAGTGAAAAGGACCACTAAGTACGCGCCGGCCACACTGTGGTATGGAAGACATGCTACCTTTCCAATCGAGAGCTTCCTAAAGACTTGGAGGCGTCAGGACTTGGAGGTAAATCTGTCTTTCAAAGAATTGCTCGATATTCGAGCTCGGCAGGTGGGCGCGATTGAGGGAAGGGTCCAAGAGGCATCCGACCAGGTAGAGAGGAGCCGTATGGACGATAAGGCTCGCTGGGACCAGTCGGCTCGTGTAAGAAAGGTACCCTTGGTAGTTGGGGACGTCGTGCTCTTGTATGATTCATCCCTGGAGAAACAATGGTCCAGGAAGCTGGACAAGAGGTGGTTAGGTCCCTATCGGATCGTGCGATGCGGAGAGATCAGCGCATACCAGATCGAGGAGCTGAATGGAACGGGGTGGAAAGACTGGGTGTCAGGGACAAGATTGAAGAAGTTCGTGGCCAGAGAAGAGGTGAGATAGGCTACCTAGTCCCCTTAGAATGGAATAGATGGGTTTGTAAATTAGGAGGATTGCTTGGGGGCATGTGCGTGGTTTGGCCTGAGTGTGTCTCTTCGTCGCCTGTTTGCTTACCCCGGCGCGTGCCTTTTGTCTCCATCGCCTGTTGTGCAGGACTGACTTGCAGCCATGCCAAGAGGAGGGAGGGGGACACGGCCACCACGACGACCGGCGGGAGCATCAGGAGGGCATGGACGGCATGGGCCTTACCGTCGAGCAAGCACTCCAGTATATAACGATGGGGATATCGAGTTATTCATGAACGAGTTCTGGGGCCATGCTGACCATATGGGGTGGACCGTGACTCGGACGATCGAGAGGCTGAGGGGAGTTGGCAGGTTTACGGAGCCCATCGCACAGATTCGCAGGGAGGCCCGAACGAGGTCGGAAGTGGAGGCGCGGATGCAGGAACTACGACCATCGCCTGTGGGGCCTGATGGCAGGCCTATTCGACTGGAGATTGGAAATGCAGATGACTTCATCCCAGCATTCGAGCAATTCATGCAGGGCCATGCAATACTGCGAAGCGAGTGGATGACGACGTTACCCCTGTGGACCCGAAAGGCGGAAAGACCTTTGGCCAGACAGATCAGAGGTATGGCCCGAGATTGGGATGGTTGTAAAGCGCACTTGAGGGCGGCATTCCGGCAGCCAGAACCACCTCGGCCTAGAGTCGAAAGGCCCCTCAGGAGTTGTAGGCAGAGGGAACCTGAGCCCGCTGAGGACCGAACCTCGCGAAGAGGACGGAAGGCGCTCGCTAGGCGAGAGGAGGAAACGGTACCTGAGGCAGAGGAGCGAGGAGAAGGCCCCGAGTGTGAATTGGGACCAGTAGAGTTCCATCGCTATACCGGAACAGGGCTGGGAGGATCTCCGCAACACACGCAGCGGGAGGTACCAGCGTCTGGAGGGTCATTACAAGAGTTAGAAGCGCATCTGGACGCAGCCCAGTGGAGAGAGCCGCCGATGAGTGAGAGGCGCATTGAGGCCATCGCGGAAGTACCACAAGAGGACGTTCCAGACCCTGAACAAGAGGAGGGGCCGAGTGCTCCGAAAGACCGGATTGGGGATGAGATCATAGAAGTTGAGGAAGACACTCCCCCTCAGGGACCAGCCGTGGGGCTGAGGCTCGGTAGTCTACTCAAGAGCCCGCCAGATACGAGGAAGAAAGTACAAAGGGAGGAAGTCTCGATCTCAGTGCCAGAGATAGCCCTATCGCCGACAGGAATGGAGGCAAGTGAGGCGGAGGGGGCTAGTCTGAGGAGGGAGGCAGACAGTCTGATTGATAGCCATCTGGCCGCCCACGCCCTGGAGCAGCCTAATCTGGAAGAGGTCATACCTGTGGAGTTACCCCGGGAACCAGGTCAGGCCAAGAGAGAGGTGGAATCGGGGATGTCAGGGGAAGTCAAACAACGCACGGTAGAGGAAGTACCAGCGAAAGAAACGGCTGAGGAGAAGCGGGCTAGAGTGGCAAGAGGACCCCAGGCAAGGCAGAGGTCGAAACCTCAGGAGGAAATCGGGGATGTCAGGAGGTACTCCCAAATCCGGCTGAGGTACTCCCAAATCCGGCTGAGGAGTTGACGATCCCAAGAGAGAGGTGGAATCGGGGATGTCAGGAGGAAATCCGGCAGGAGGGGCAACGATTGGAAGCGGCAGAGGTACTCCCAAATCCGCCACCGCCCTACAAACCATATGGGCTCCGGGAGATGTGGGGAAAGTTTCTTACTCGTCATGGCGAAGGGTTGACGACCCCAGGCAAGGCAGAGGTCGAAACCTCACAAAGGGCTGATGAGTATTTGGATCAGAGGATTCGCTCTGTATCCAAGACCTCCTTTGACAGGTATATGATGTTGGAGGCGGATCTGAGAGGGAAGGAACTGAAGGAAGCAGGGCTGGAGTCACGGTTGGGGACCATTGAGGCAAAAGTCCGAGGGCTCAGGGCTCTGGTGACTAGCCAGGCCGCCACCATCCTGGAATTGAAGCAGCAACTCCATGACGGCAGGAATGGGGTGGAGAGTAACAGGCCAGGAGAGCGGAGGCAACCGGGACATGGCGTATCAGAGCAACCAGCTGTGGCCGAGCCTCAACAAGAGGCACCTATGGGAAGAGTCATTTTGGAGCCTGAGGAGGCAGAGGCCAAGAGGAAGGCTGAGAGGGAAGCCTTCGAATTCAGAGCCCCTACGGAACTTGCGGTACTACCCACGATGGCTGCAGACCCTGCCATGCCACCGTCACTTGAGGAGAGACTGCCCTCGGACAGTGATGAGCCTCCCCAAGGCTCGACAGGAGGGTCCTTAGACGTGCTACTGGAAGCAGTCCACTCTATGCAGGAGGATGCTGGCTTGTTTTCACCAGAGTCCAAGTTGGAAGAGCCCCTGGAGAGCGAGATGGGAGGTGCAATGGAGGGCATCATCGCAGGCAGGCCCCAGGGGTTGGATACTCCTGACTATGAGCCAGAGGGAGCAAGGGCGCAACCAGAGCCCAGTCCGCGAGAGTCGGAGGCAGGATCTGAGAGACCCAGAGATGTGCCTCAGTGCCATGAGTTGGACGGAGAGGCCAGGGAAACCCCATCGCCAGCAGGGCCCCAGCGGAAGAAGAAAAGGCCTAGGAAGTCTTTTGACTCGACCTGCTTCTATTGTACGAAAGAAGAGCACAGTGCATTGCAGTGCCTCAAGTTCCTAAAGGACTAGGCAGATGGGAAAGTCTCGGAGTATGATGGGAAGATGTATGATAGGGAGGGTAGAGTGGTGGAACGAGCTGTAGATGGGGGTAGAGCTCAGTTGTACAGGCAGAACCAGGCGGAGATGAGTGAGTAGGGTCTGGTCCACCTGATTAAAAACTGGATATTTCTTTGACGATGTTGCTATTACTTAGGCAGGGTGGACACCTACGACGTTGAGTGTGTAGATGGGACCTACGACGTGGGATGGTCGCTGTAACTAGGATCATGTAAAATAGGGGACGTACACTAAGTGGCAATAAAATACTGAATTGTTTTGGGGATCCCCTGTACAGATAACCATGTACTATATTCAGGGTGGGGTGAGTTATTTTGTGTGGGTTCGGAGACGAGGTTACCCTGTGGATTTTAGGATGAGATATCTCATCCCTGAGTGTATATCTGAGTTGAGTGAGGTTTGAGACTATCCTTTGTACATGACGATCACACCCACTCTCACATGTGTGGATTTATCCTGATGTATGGTGAATGTTGAATGTATGAACGACATCTTGAATGTTGTGCACCGTGCGAATGGAATGTATGTGAACTGCCCACTCTCCGGTATACTTGTGCGATCTGCCTGCGGGCAGGTAACGGGGCCAGGTATAAGGAGAGGGAGTGCAGTCTGTCCTTGTGAAAGTATATAAATCCCTTGGATTTGTGAGTCCTTGAGACTCAGATGCTTGCCATGCCGAATGTATGTTGTTGAGTTGTGATGAGGACCCATAAGTTGGTCTCTCAAGTTTGAGTTGTGCTATGGTAGGGGTGCCTGGTTTTTTGAGGAGGCAACCCGCTGCATGCTGGGAGACCTATGGCGTGAGACCTCCCTCGTATGAAGGGTGGTTACCAGATCAGGGGCATGGTAAGCAAGGTTGGTATGATAAAGTCTGACAAGAAGAACCATGTTTGTTGCTTGGCCGCTGTTGAGAGTTTGGAGAGGTCGCAAATAGTTTTTTTTGGGAGATATCACTGGGATGCGTAGATTCCTGCCCTGATCAAGTAAGGGAGTCACGGCCTTGTGCGACTGGCGGTGATTTTGTTTGTGAATGTGGAGAGGTTGCCAGGGGCCTCTGTGTTGTCCCACAGGGGGCTGGTAAATACCTTTTATGTGTGACAGGCCTCTGCGTAGTCCCGCGGTGGGCCTGTATTGTTGCGACCTACCGTCCAGCCACATGTGCTAATCCTGTAACATGTATGAGAATACCAAGCTAATGGTAGAGTTTAGCATCACTAGGGCGCAACCCCTAGTGTCCGCTGCTGATCGGCTAAGGGTCGAGTCGAGTCTATTTTGAGTCCTGATTGATTGCTTATCAGGAGAAAGCCTATCGCGGCGCAACCTGCGAGGGCACTACCGCTGAACTAACAAGCGCGGTGGGCCGTAGACGTGGCACGATCACCCAGACTACGGTGGGCCAAGATGGAGACCTAGCCTACCTGTACTAGACTGTAGGAGGTGAGTTGAGGTGATTTATATATATATATGTTTGATTGTGAGAATTGTGGGAGGAAGGCGGAAGTTCCTTCTAAGGTCTCGGTTAGGGCCCGCGGCCTTGGTCAAGGTCCTACTTGCAGGGTAGAGGCCAAGGACACCTAACGAGAAGTCGGCGGTTGTCTAGGACAAAGGGGAGAGGACGGGTAAGAGGGGCCGCTGAGACTTATGCTGTAGTACGTATGTCTAGTACACCGGCGTCCTAGCGTCAGGACAATGGAGACCCAGGTTAGAACCCTGGCGGCATATAGTTACAAGGGCTTGGATTGTTGGAGGCCTCAACCCTGAGTCTGTCGGCTGATCGGATTGGTTCCTGTCTCGTCAGCATTGGGAGTTATGGAGGAATTTGTAGCTTTCGATCTGGCGAAGCGACGGGGATGTCGCTTAATATGGTCCGGCAGGCTGTCGGCGCAAATACCCTAACAAGGGTATCCGCCCTTGTTTTTGCAAGTGTCCGGAAGTATGAGTAGGGGTCTAAAGTGTACTGCGCGAGATGCACCTAGGTCTGTTTGGTTACATAGGTAAGTTGCTTGATTAGAGTAGAGCGCGTGTGGGCGCGCGGGATTAAGGCACGTGTGTGATTTTTCTACTTTGGATTATGCAACCGACATAGTTGGCCGGCCTGACTCTGGCTGCTAGGAGTAGGGGGTGCCCTTGGTAGGGATAGGTGACCGGTGATAGTCCAACGTGCGAAGTAGGGTGCGGGGCAGCCACGGCGCAAAGAGGGCAAGCCGGCGTAGGAGCCTAGCGGCGGCGTACCTAATGGGAGGTAGAAATGAGGCCTGGGGGCTGCGCCGCACCTGTTCATATCAAATACCGCGCTAGCCATTATCAGGCTTGGGCTTAGCCCTATAGGTTACGGTGTTGGACTGTTACAGTGGAGATATGGGGATCGAGGCCAGCGGGCAGCTTAGCGGAGCAGCAGAGCGGCGTAAACAAGGCCGAGGGGTTGAGGGTCCCGTGGGACTATTCCCCTTGGTTTTGCTGAGGGGAGTCCTGCCACGGGGCCGTGAGGGTAGGGCCAGGTACTAACGGTGCCACGGGGCCGTGAGGGTAGGGCCAGGTACTAACGGTCCCCCTCCCCCGTCCGTTTTTTGTTTATTATTATTATTATTATTTTTTTTTTTTTTTCTGAGTTACATTTTTTATTTTTTTTAATGAGATCCTGCACCAGTGCCGGGGCCCGCAGAAAAACCCAGCGGCATCGTTCAGTGGATACACCCATGAACGGCTGGGCCACTGCTGGGCTACCACTAACGTGGCACAGTCCTTCGGGACATCCGTTAAAATTGGGACGATACAGAGAGGAGTAGCCGGACCCCCTCGTAGATGTGACAAGCATAAAGTCGAGGGGCGGCACGATGCTGTTGCTGTTGTGTGCACTCTCGACCAAGCCGATCGTTGGATGTTGCGCTATAGGGGCTGCAGCATGAGTGGCATGAGCGCTGAGTTGCACCGAGTGCCTTCAGATCAGAGAGAGGTGAGTGAGGCCGAGAGGCGAGGCGGAGGGCTACAGGCAGCAGGCAATAGGGTAGAAGGTGCGGGCCGAACCTGGACGTAGGTCCGCACCAGGTACATACAGAGTATGGAAGGAACAACTATGGCGGAAGGCTGAGTCCGTAGCTCACCCGTTTTGCCTCCGTTTTAGGCAAGCGGAGGTAGGAGATGGGGGCTCTTTGACAGGGCGAGGCGAATAGTAGAGCCAGAATGGTGGATGGGTTAGTATAAGAGGAGAATAGTGAAAAGAGGACCGCGCGGAGCTATGGACGAAGCAAAAAACGAAGGGGGGAAGAAGAGCTTTCTCGCTCGTTAATGGGCGGATTTGGGCGAAGGAGGATGCGAAATAGGGGTTTCTAGTAGCTGCGAATCGGATTATGAGGTTAGATTTTGATGTTAGTGGATAGATTGGCAAGTACGTGAGGAAGGAACTGCGTGGTGATGTCGAGAAGAGAGGAGTGACGGGGTGATGAGGGTGTAGCTCACCCACTCCTTAGTGAAAACGGGTGAGAAGGGGTATTAGAGTGGGGGTTTGAGGCATTTCGGATACCTTGGCTGCAGCAGGTGCCATAGTTGGCCAGGTGATCGACCGCTGCTGGCTGAAAGGGCTGCGTGGAAGAAGAATGGCTGTATCTGTCCGTATCTTGAACGAAAGGTTAATTGTCATTTTTGTTTTTCCAGTAGAGGTAGCCCGGAGCTCGTGAGTCGTTCCATCTGCAGCTCATCGAGGTCGCGACCTTCGCCTTACTGACCATGGCCTGTCCCGATCTTGGTCCTCACGTCGGGTTGTGTTCTATTCGTGGTCTTCGTCCACTAGAATTTTGAACGAACCTGGCCTGAAAAACGGCCAGGGGCGTTCGTGAACCGAGGGCGGGGCAACAGGAGGGACGAGCTCAGCAGATAGAGGGAGGGTCTCCTCGAATCTGCTTGTCCTATCGGATGGAGGCTGTATGAAGCTGGTCGGGATTCAGACCGGGTTATGGAAGAGAAGAAGAGACCGACACAGTGAGTGAGGGAGGGCCGAAGAAGGGAAAGTGAGAAGAGTAAGACTGAGAGACTGCTGGCGAGCTAATCAGGGAGCTGCTCGCCTTCCTATATACCGGTGTCACTGCCAGCCATTGTTGACAGCAGCCTGCATGGTCAGTACCTGCTTGTGCCTTGTTGCCTGCGGCAAGATCAGCATCTGCACTTGGTTCGTTGTCACCGCCGTTTATGATTTCAGACATTGCTAGGCTTGGTCAACTGTTGGACGTTGTTACCTTGGCTGCGACAGATGGTTGTGGTATTCACGGAGCGCCACTGCTGTGTACTGTGATTACTCAGGAAATGGTTGTTTTGCTGCTGTGACCAGGCTCTGCTGTTTCGGATAAGAACGCACTACGGCAATCAGAGGCTGCTGGTTCACTTACATAGCGGCTGGTGCTGTGGGGGCCCGTGTGCTGAGGACTCTACCCCAGTCTCAGAAGGTTGAAATCCTTGCTCTCAGGCAGCACTTGTGTCTCGGGATTACAACCAGTGCTCTGGATTGCGACTAGTTTCTGATGGACATGTTGCTGGGCTGGTAACACGCATCCCTGTGAAGACAAGTATGGTTTACGTTGCTGCTGTGATACTGCTGCTGCTACAGCAGTCAGCAGGCAGCAGGTTGTGGGTCTCGGAGCCTGAGGGCAGGGCAAGTACTCTGATTGCTGTTAAAAGCGTTGTTCCCAACTATAAGACGGGCTCCGTCCCTTACAGTACACTACTGTAGAGTGGGATGCGGTTCGTTACTGTGGGTTACTGTTATGTTGGGGACTGACCCTCGCAGCTCACTACTGCAATACACTATACTAAGTCGCTTAGCGGCGGTGCTACTGCTGCTAGACCAAACTGTCGAGATACACAGACCCTGCGCTGCTGGACATCTGAAGAGTTGCTACAGTACCTCTTGCTGTGCACAAACTAGAGACGTGAGCCGGGTGGTGCTCGCACTACTACAACACCGGGGGTTGTGCTCGAGAGCTGTAGATGGGACGCCTAGTTGAGGTGCGGCTGAAGTGGCAAGCTGCTGGCTGCAGACGGTTGCTGGCTGCCATTGGTGGCGGCCTACTGCACAAGCTGCTACTGCGCCCACGCACAACCTGCGGTTGCTGGGTACTGTCTGCAGCAGCGCACTGCGATGGCATGGCATAACGGGCTGCCGCAGTGACATGACTTCTGTATCTGTGCGCGGCCCATTGCGGGAGGCTGGGCATGGACTGTGTTGTTGCKGTGTTCGGTAGCCGGACGGGGACARCGCTTGCTACTGTT